ATATGAATACGCTACAAACTTCCTGATTTTACCATGCACATTTAGCCCGGCATAGAATACATCATCGCGCAAAGCGACACTTATGAAATTTCGTAAACTCCGATGTCAGACACGGAATGCAGCAATGTCACTACTATRTTCTCAATACCTGCTAACACTTTTTGTATTTTTCTTGTTTATGAATTTATGATTAATCATTTTTTCGTGGAAATAGTCGCATTTCGGCTTATTTGAAAGAGAAAATCCATGTCCGCACGAATAAGTCACGCAGTCTATTCATACGAAAAAAGAAAAAGTAATGAAAAACGTAATTCAAAAATTTCTGAAAGTAATCTAGTTAACCGTGATTCGAAAAAATTAGTCGTGAGTCGTGAAATCGCCAAATTTTTAGCCATGAGTCGTGATGCGTACCACTCCATTGAGACCCTCTTATATGGTCTGTACGCTTATCGACAATGAGAATGACGTCAGAAAATGMTCAAAACTCATATTCAATGTGGGATGACAAGAGGTCCAAGAGTACTTTGTAAAGTGATTCGCGCATGGTCAGTTTGCCCCATTTGTCTCAAAACATATTTTACGGCAATTTCTCCAGGAATTTTAGCGGACTTGATCTTCAAATTAGTGTTGGAGTTTTTGAAGCCGTTTAAAACACTCTCTCTCGTTTTTTAAACTATACTCACATTTTTGTATCTCCATTTTGATGTCGATGTAGATTGCAAACCGTCCTTGGGTGACCTGACCTGCACCCCTCCCTCCTGATGACAATTCAAGACCCGATTCTATATACAAGTATACTTATTTCTAAAATTGGATTATTTTTCAGTGAAAGAGGTTTAGAGAAGGGCCTAGAGTTAGACTCGCTGCTCTCTGGTTTCTATACTGGATTTCTCAATTTAGGGTATTTACACGTTAGGACATCTTATCTCACACGTCATTTTCTCAATTACAAATCATATATGTAAGAGATAAATACCGAGAACGGAGSCAATAGGCCATATAAAGCACGAGGGGCCGTAGGCCCCGAGGGCTTTATAGGCTTATTGCCGACGTTCGAGGTAAGTAAGTATGTAAGAGTTRCATACCGAGAACGGAGGCAATCAGCCTAATACATATATAGGCTGATTGCCGACGTTCGAGGTATGTATCTGGCTTATTTCATACTTGAAGAAGTTTTCCAAGCACTGCATTAATATTTTCATTTTTAAATAGGCAAAGAAGCCGTTTTCATATGAATTAAAAACCAAAACCTCGATTAGAAAGGTTACGAAATTTACAGTATTGACAAATCCCAACGGGAATAATTTGCATAACCATTTTTCTCGTTAGTCCCATGAGACCAATGCTAACAATATACCTTTTGTAAAAAGTAACTGGACAATGTTAAAAAATCTTTTTTATTCTGACATCGATTAGTCAGTTAGGATAGTTAAGCTAAGGTTGTGGGTTCGAATCTACTTGGTTTCATTTGAATTTTTCTTTCTTTCTTTCAAGTTTTAAGTTTCAGACGGAAAATTTCTAAGTTGAACGTAGTAGTTAATTAGGCATTCAAGGGCAATATACATTAATGTATTCAAGGGCAATATCTATATATTGCCCTGAAACTTCGATATAAAGCACTTGAATACACAATGAGCTGTGGAATAAGCGAGATACAACACTATGAATAACAAAGAAAACTGAATCAAGTATGAAATAATGGAGATTGCAGAGTTCYTCCTAACAGGCCCGTAGCAGGGTTAAAAGTGAGGGGCCCACTTTTCAACGAGCCGAAAATTGTGGTTTGGTGCGTTTGATTGCGATAGTTTTAAACAACAAGGAGTTATTGCGACTAAAAGCATTTCAACATGTTTAGATAGATCTATTTGCTCCTTCCAAAGACAAAACACATCTCCGGAAAACAAGTACAGTATGCCCATTTGATATAAAAATGTGAAAATTAAAATGGTTCAATCAAGAAACATTTTCACGCGGTGTCTGCATTGACTTTGATGCTTGAATTACTTGTTGTGACATTGTCTTTACACCCAAAATACAAATAGTTGGTTTCTATTTTGCTTTGACGAAGTGAACTTATTCAGATAAGCTGCAATAAATCTGTTTTTGTCGTTATGGACGTGGATTAACATCAAATGTCATTCAGCGCCATTTGTTGCCCCT